AAACAGGCGCAATTGGTTGAATATCCGTTGTTTTCTGTTCCTTGGTACGTTTACATTTTAGTGGCGATAAATTGATTACTCTTTTCTAAGAAGAATGTGGAAATGGTTCAACTTATTCTCTCGGTAGTAACGTATTTACCTTTTATTTTCGGCATTCAAGTCAGTCATTGTTAAACTTGAATGATTCTCCACTAAATCGATCGATATTTTTGTTGAAATGAAATGAAGTGTGTGCATTGCATCGGGTTTACAGTTAAACCGTAGAGAACGTAATACTATCAAATTTAGTGATGAACAAGCCTGAACGAACAATTTTCAACATTTAACATACACGGCGAAACTACGCAAACGCGATCGAGTGGGTGCAGTCGGTGATTACGTAACTCGGGGATGCTCTGGGAACAGTGGCGCTCATCCCTCATGAATTTTCCGAGAAATCAATTTGATGACAAAAATAACTGGATTTATGAACCACTATAGTGGTTAAATTATGAAAAATCCTGGGTATACATGAAAAGATTTTTATTTAGCAAACTCTATCTAAGAAATGGTCATCAAAAAGTAAATAAAAAAATTATTTGTCAAAACAGATGGATTAAGGAAGTTATTTTTGATAAATTGAACAAAGACTTCCAATAAATGTTTCAATATGTATAATATATGATTTTCTAATCATTGAATTAGTTTCGTTAAGGAAATTGAGAATTTCTATGAAAAATGTTTCGGAATTTATTTTACATTTTTGTCACTGAATTTTTAAATGTTGAAATTTATGCATTTGTTTTCAAAGTGGAATCAAATACTTTATTTACTTTCACCCGTGAATGTGAACGCGCCAAGCATTTTTGTGTGATAACTCCCGCAATGAAATTCCAAGGATCGATTCCTCGGCTTATCCTCACGGAATGACAATATGCCTAAATTTGAGTGTTTGCATGACTGTTTCAAACAATTACGTGTTCATTACTAGAGACCGTTCCTGACCGTTTTCATACCCTGACCGGTTTTCGTATGGAAAATTACAGTTACAGTTAAGCTACATTAGACATGAGTCAAAATGACCAAAGATTGTCTATATAGTTACAAATTGACCGTCATTTATATTTTAGTTATTTTTTTGTCGTTCTTTACAGGCTGGATCAGAAAACTTTTTAACAGAATTGAAATTTTATGATTTATCATTTTATTCATTAATTATTGCTTTCAAATAAAAGCGTTGTAATGATGATGATGAAAGCGTTGATCCATTATGATTCATTATGATTAACTCCGAAAATGAAACTTTTAGACCGTGTCTGTACGTATGTGTGGTAAAGTTTTCCTTCAATTCTTCGTTTAAATCATTTCTTTTTCTCCGAGATAGGGATTGTTGAGCGCTATCCATCGACATTAATGAAAATAATTCATCGATTAGTTTTTTAAATTTCCGAATTTTTTCGAAAATCGGTTGTCCTACGATAACTGAAAAAAGTGTTCTTGAATTATGGCTTAACAAATTCATTTGAATATCCTTTTGACCGAGTTTGACGATGGAGGCGATAGCAATAATCGTTATTTTGATTTATTTGGAAATTTTCAAAAATTTTGTATTTTTCTAAAATCAGAATTCCGGAGATATCTTTGAATATCATGCTTTAAATGAATTTAATCATAGCTCAAAATGTTTGTTTTATTGCCATTACATTGAAGTTAAAAGATGATTACGATAGCTATATTAGTTGATTTGATTTTTATGATGCTTGTTGAAGATTTCGAATTTTTCATGAATTTCCCTGAAAGTGAGTTTTTTAGCAGTTTCTTCAAATGTGATGTTTCAAATTAATTGAAGTACGTGTAAATCAAATAAAATGAACAATGAATGGATAATACTCTGTAAAATAACCATTCCCAAGCATATTGGTAATTTATTAGTAAAAATAACTGTATTATAAAGTTATTAGTAAAATAACTATACTGTATGCAATACAACAGCAATGTCTCACTTGTTATTTATGGCCCCGTTCTCATGATGTACTCTTAGAAATAAAATGAAATTTCATGGACAGTTGACTAGTATTGTTCAGGACAGTGCTATTGAATGCAATTTAAGGGTCAAAAAATCGTGAAATTTCAGATTTGACTGTAAATTCAATAAAATTCAAAAGTTTTGAGAAGAATGAAGTCGAGAATTCTTCAATCTATTTGAATTTAGAATAGAAACACCAGTACATTAGAGTACAAGGGCACAATTTTCGAAGTTTATAGGTCGAGCTGAAGACGAGGTCTGTACTTATATTCATTGAAAGCTAAGTTTATGCCCGAGTGATCTATAATATTTTATGTCACGCCGTGCAGACGCTTCGCTCAGCGTGTTTCAAACTCGACTTATTGCACAGCGTGACATGAAAATATTTAGTGCTAAATTACCCTGAATTTCCAAATTGAAAATTCAAGAATATGTTCATCGGAATTTTTTATTAATATTCAAGGATTATTTTTTCCAATCGAATTTCGACCAGAGCGCAGTATTTAAGGCTACCCGACAGTTTTATGTTGGATGTTTCCTCCTAGCCTTTGAATATGTCGCAGAACCTCTTCATTTTTGTTACCTGAATATTTTGCAGTAGCTCTTTTTGTATTTGATTTAGCTAATAGAATGACCCAATGTCTACGGAAATTGGGTTATTCAATTCAATTCAAATTAGAAATTGGGTTATTCTATTAGCATAATTTGTTCAAATCTTCCCTAATTCACCTCCTGATGTTGTCCACTGCACTCTGATTGACCAAAATTCGATAGGGAAAAAAAATCCGACAAAAACCTCCCGAGTTTCAAAAGTAATCAAGTATTTCTCTGAAGCTCCTTTGCAAACACACGATCGTGCCAAGTTTTGCAGAAAAATCTCTCGCGCAAGCGCTCAGGATTATTTAACCTGCAAAACTTGACGCCCTCATTTATTTTTAACGAAGCTATCGGCAAATATTCCATAATTTTGAAGCTCTTAGGGTATTACTAGTGAATAATTGAACGGAACTTTACAGTTCTCGTGGATTTTCAAAGAAATTCAGAATTTTCAGTGACGAATTTTCTTCAAATTTCAGTGGAACTTGAATGTGAGAAAAATGTCTGAAAATTGTGCTGGAAATTTGAGCCAAAAATTTTTTACTATAGAAATTGCTGGACTTGTACTTAAAAATTGAGAATCATCTATGTAGATGGAAATTGAAGATCAAAATTTAATCGGTCGTTTAATGTTTATGAACAATCACTAAGAACATAGAGATTAATCCATACGATCAATCGATGCGGTTGGAAGATTCAACCAAGCGACATGGATATACTCTTATTGTGCCTTGGGTAATTCAAAACGGAAATTGATAGTTACTGGGCTAATAGAGGAAGGTCTGGGGCCAAACAGGAGAAACTCAATGCCATGCAGAATAGAGGAAGGAGGCCAAACTCCGTACACTAGGCATAGGGTAGAAAACTGGGCTGGTNGGGGGGGGGGGGGGGGGGGGGGGGGGGGGGGGGGGGGGGGGGGGGGGGGGGGGGGGGGGGGGGGGGGGGGGGGGGATAGTTGGGCTGAAGTAAGCAGGGACCTGGAACGTATTTCTGTTTCGGTTTCATTCCTCAGGTAAGAAACGAAACTAAATTGTAACGTTACTGCCAGGAACGAAATTCAGGAACGAAAGTTGAGTAACGGTACCGCTAGGAACGAAATTCAGGAACGAAAATTGAGTAACGTTACCGCCAGGAACGCAACCCTGGAACGAAAGTCCTGTAATGCTACGGCCTGGAACGGAATGCCGGAAGGAAAGTCGAATAATGTTACCGCTTGAAACACAAACGCGTAACAAAAGGGAAATAAAATCGCTGCTTGGGCCAAAATAGTGACATGAAAATTTGAAAATTGAGTTCATTTGTAACTTATGGTTTTATTTCGAACAGCAAAATGAATGTTGCGAGTCGGGCATTTTTCCGAAAAAATCGAATTGATAGGAAAAAAAACCGTGAATATGAAAATTTCCATGATTTTGTTACAGATAAAGAAAGTTCATTGAGGTTGGTTTTGGGGTTAATTTATTTCATTGAGATATTTACCATGAAAATTTCTGGGTAATAAATAGGGCGACGTTAATGAAAATTTTAAAAAATTAATTTCTTCATTTTTGCCACATTATTTTTTATTTCTGATTTTTTCAAGGAATTTCTACAGAAAATATCTCAATAGAATTAAAATGTATTTCATATGAAAAAATGAAAATCTGTTTTTAAAAAAATTTTATAATGTTGTTTATTAGACATTTCGACTAAGGAAAAAAATCGGAGAAGAGCTGTAGAAATTTTCAATGAATTTAGCTAGAAACGGATAGAATTGTCTATAGAAATTCTATAAAATGTTTAATAAATGTGGCAGGTTTCTTATGAAATTCTTTCATTGGTTGCTATAGGTAATAAATTTTTGGGAGTGTGAAGTTTGCAGCACGAGGCGTCGGTAAGTCGGAGACGAGGCTCGCCGAAGGCAAGCCCCCCCCCACTAAAAAAAAAATTTCACAAAAGAAAAAAAAAGAATAATTGAAGTAATTTGTACTCTTGGTTTAGTATAAAAAAAATACTACAAAAACCTCGTATTTCCATAGAAAAATTCTACTGAATTCGTATTGGAACCCTTGAAAAACTCTATTGGAGTTTTGTGAAAATTCTATTGATTTGATGTGCTAATTCTATCGGAGATCATGTAATTTTACCATCTCGTATTCCTAAAAGAATATTTAATAGAAAAAGGTCTATAGATTTTTCATTTCTTCATTCTTGGATACAAATTTCTCAAATTTTAAGAACTATTTTTCTTATAGAAATCTGATTGTGCACTATCACCATTTATTCAAAATTCCTGACTTGGCTTCCTTTTTTGTTTCTATGTATTTTTCAAAAACTTCGACTTCCCAGTAGGAATCAAACAAAACTTTTTCTTGGCCAAGTTTTTTTTACAAAAACATTTGTTTTTGTGTTAAAATAGATCCAGAGAGTTTTGTGCGAAACTTTGAAGAGTGCAGAGGTGTTCATCATACACAAAGCTTTCTCAAAGGGGATAGAATGCCGAATTAGCGGTATTCTATTAGATTATTTAACGAGTTCTATTTCTACTTGAGTGTATGTACAATAAGTGCATTCATTCAATTGCCAACATGAAAAACTCTTTAAAGGGTAAATTGGTGCAGTCCGTAAATTTTTGGAGTCAAAGATTTCACGGGGCACAATTGCCACAGCAACGCAGTCACGTTGTTTGTAGAATAAAAAAGGAAGCAAAAGCTATTCTAATGTTGCCAAGTCAAGACCAACGAAAGAGGATGCCATTTTAATGGATTATGTTCAAGAAACCAAACTTGAACTACGTATGAATCAAAAATAAAAACGCTAGACGAGTTATGTGTAATCAACAGAGTGTTATGGAGAAAAAGAGGAACAAAACTTAGAGCTATACATTAAGTGTCTGAAACAAAATGCCTTATACTTAATAGATATTTGTACACTTTCGATGCAATGACAGTTATATTATCCATATACAGGGTGTCCCATTTGAAACAATGCACCCAAATATCTTCTAAGGGGGGCAAGTGACAGGAAATTTTCAGGGACATAAGTTGTAGAGTTCCGAGGAGGACATTTGATGCATGCATTTTTTTGAGCTTTCACGATCATACTTGCAAGCTGCAAGCACAAGGAGCTTTTTCTTAAATGGCAATCGCATTTTTTACCGTAATGAAACTTGTTCTCCTTGATAAGTAGTTTTCAAATACCTCATCATTCATGTGAACTCCTTCGATTTTACTCGGAGAATGCGACGAAAATGAGTTCTGTTATCAAACTGAAGATTCACACACCCTTGACGCGTCTTGGCGTAGATAATTGTTCTGCTAATCCATTTACCAACCGTAGTTATGGAATGTAAACAATAACAAAGAATTCCCCATTACCTCGAGGATTCTGCTATTCGAAACATTTTCAATTCAACCAGAATCGAGTTCGTATCCCCTGTAATTTCATTGAACACATCACGATGTATTCAGCGAGTGAAATTGTCGATATTTTACTCGTATTAGGAGAGTGCCGCGGAGACTATCGAGCCGCTGCCCAGACATCGAGAACGGTACCCTAATCGCCGACGTCATCCCACAGATGCAGTAATTCGGAACATTGAAAGGAATTGTAGGAGAGGACGAACTTTTCGACGACAACAATCACAACAACAAGGTATTAATCGTGATGATCCACGAGCTGTTGCCATTCTCGCTATGATTCACATGAATTCACGCTAAATTCACATGATTCACGCTAAAAAAAGTCTGAATCTTTAGTTTGATAACAGAACTCATTTTCGTCGCATTCTCCGAGTAAAATTAAAGGAGTTCACATGAATGATGAGGTATTTGAAAACAACTCATCAAGGAGAACAAGTTTCATTGGGGTAAAAAATGCGATTGCCATTTAAAAAAAAGCTCCTTATACTTGCAGCTTGCAAGTATGATCCTGAAAGCTAAAAAAAATGCATGCATTAAATGTCCTCCTCGGAACCCTACAATTTATGTCCGTGAAAATTTCCTGTTACTTGCCCCCCTTAGAAGATATTTGGGTGCATTGTTTCAAATGGGACACCCTGTAGATATCAATGTTGGTATCAGAACTAATTAGATCGTTAACAGCATTCGTCAGCATTTGACATGTTGAAGGATGAAAAGAAAATTAGGTATATAACACGTGTTTCAAACAATTGAGCCTATTGTTATTTATGTACAAAATAAGAACCTGGTTGCCGACCTTCTTTACACTGGCGACTATCAAAATTAGAGAACAGACCGTACAGGTCAGGCCCCTAGTATCCCAAAGCAGAAAAGTTATCATCTCCAATGCCCGTCTGGAAATTTCTAACACAATTTTGGAAAATGACTTGAGAAAAATCTTAGTACGATGGACATCTGCAATCACTGAACTTAAAACTAGTGCAACCGATCGCATTTTTTCACAGTAGCGATTTCCAAAGACAGGTTTTTATCGATCCAGAAGATAGTAAAAAATATCCTAAGAGTGGTTTCAATCAATTTTGAGGGTTCAAAATATTTTGTCTCCTTTTCTACAAAGAAAATTGCCTGTTTCACGTGTAGCGGTGAAGGCCACATTGTTCAAGGCGTTGTTCTTTCGGCGACGCCGATGATGTGTTGGGTCCCAGGTCGCGCAAAAAGAAGGAGATGGTGGGCATAGTCGAGTATTGGACGACATATTGCTCTATAGATTTTGGAGATGTGTTTCGTATTGAGTCCTTTGTCTTTGTAAGTGAGGCTCCGGAATTTGGTGCCTCTCGAAATACTCTTCTTCTTGATGTTGTTCGCATGTGCCTTGAAGTTGAGATTGTAATCAACTTCGACCCCAAGATATCTGGTGTGTGCGCAGGGAAGAATCTGGGTGTTTGTAGGGCAATGATGGNATCGAGAACGGTACCCTAATCGCCGACGTCATCCCACAGATGCAGTAATTCGGAACATTGAAAGGAATTGTAGGAGAGGACGAACTTTTCGACGACAACAATCACAACAACAAGGTATTAATCGTGATGATCCACGAGCTGTTGCCATTCTCGCTATGATTCACATGAATTCACGCTAAATTCACATGATTCACGCTAAAAAAAGTCTGAATCTTTAGTTTGATAACAGAACTCATTTTCGTCGCATTCTCCGAGTAAAATTAAAGGAGTTCACATGAATGATGAGGTATTTGAAAACAACTCATCAAGGAGAACAAGTTTCATTGGGGTAAAAAATGCGATTGCCATTTAAAAAAAAGCTCCTTATACTTGCAGCTTGCAAGTATGATCCTGAAAGCTAAAAAAAATGCATGCATTAAATGTCCTCCTCGGAACCCTACAATTTATGTCCGTGAAAATTTCCTGTTACTTGCCCCCCTTAGAAGATATTTGGGTGCATTGTTTCAAATGGGACACCCTGTAGATATCAATGTTGGTATCAGAACTAATTAGATCGTTAACAGCATTCGTCAGCATTTGACATGTTGAAGGATGAAAAGAAAATTAGGTATATAACACGTGTTTCAAACAATTGAGCCTATTGTTATTTATGTACAAAATAAGAACCTGGTTGCCGACCTTCTTTACACTGGCGACTATCAAAATTAGAGAACAGACCGTACAGGTCAGGCCCCTAGTATCCCAAAGCAGAAAAGTTATCATCTCCAATGCCCGTCTGGAAATTTCTAACACAATTTTGGAAAATGACTTGAGAAAAATCTTAGTACGATGGACATCTGCAATCACTGAACTTAAAACTAGTGCAACCGATCGCATTTTTTCACAGTAGCGATTTCCAAAGACAGGTTTTTATCGATCCAGAAGATAGTAAAAAATATCCTAAGAGTGGTTTCAATCAATTTTGAGGGTTCAAAATATTTTGTCTCCTTTTCTACAAAGAAAATTGCCTGTTTCACGTGTAGCGGTGAAGGCCACATTGTTCAAGGCGTTGTTCTTTCGGCGACGCCGATGATGTGTTGGGTCCCAGGTCGCGCAAAAAGAAGGAGATGGTGGGCATAGTCGAGTATTGGACGACATATTGCTCTATAGATTTTGGAGATGTGTTTCGTATTGAGTCCTTTGTCTTTGTAAGTGAGGCTCCGGAATTTGGTGCCTCTCGAAATACTCTTCTTCTTGATGTTGTTCGCATGTGCCTTGAAGTTGAGATTGTAATCAACTTCGACCCCAAGATATCTGGTGTGTGCGCAGGGAAGAATCTGGGTGTTTGTAGGGCAATGATGGAGTTGGATTTTTGTGGATTAATGTAGAATTGTAGATATTGCGATTTTGATGGGTTGAGTTGGAGTCGCCACTTATTGAACCAGATTTGCACTTCGTTAGCTAGTTCTTGGAGGTTTTGAATAGCAATGTTCCATGTTTTACCATGTCCTATGAGCGCAATGTCATCAGCGAATTGTATTAGGTTTTTTTTGGGGTTGGGATTTTGGAAAGGGTTGTCAAGTATGTCATGGCAGGAAATATTGTACAGGAGGGAAAAGAAGGGGGAGCCTTGGGGGACTTCTTGTTGGGGGGTGAAATCGAGGGAGTGGCTATGCTTGACTTTTATGGAAAGACATCTATTGAAGAGGAACTGTCCTATTATTTTGATGAGGTAACTAGGGCAATTCAACTTTTGAAGTTTGTAGGCTAAGCCTTTATGCCAAACACTGTCAAAGGCTTTTTGAATGTCGAGGAAGAGGGTGTTAGTTTTGAGATTGTTATGTTTAGCTGTCTGTACATTAGATGTGAGAATTGCAAGGGGATGGAGGGTGGATTTGCTCTCGCGGAAACCAAATTGGTCGATCGGAATATCATTGGTGGTGGCATCATTCAGACGTTCTTTGATGATTTTTTCGAACATTTTATCGAGGGAGGGAAGGAGTGTGATGGGTCGATTTGGTGAATATCTTTGTTGGCTTTAGATATGACAATTATCACTCTTTTTTTTCCATTCTGGCGGAAAGTGAGCTTTTTGGATGCAAAAGGTGAATATTTTTCGTGTATGCAGATGCATTAAGCTTGAGAGTTTTTTCAATGTAAGACGACGAATGCTATCGTGGCCTGGGGCAGTGTTTTCGCCATTTAGTAGCGCTCTCTTGTATTCGCCGGGGGCGATGGGGAAAGTATCGTCTGTATAGGGATCTAGGGTGTTTGAAAAATCGTCGAAACAGTCAGTAACTATGTCGTGAGTTAGTCGGTTACATCTGTCTGTTTCAGTGCATTTGTAGGTGTTTTCGAAGTAAGAGGCGAATGCATTTGCTTTGTCTATCTCAGAGCAGAGGGATTGGTTGATTCGCATTATAAAGTGTGAGAATCAAGTTATAACGTTGGCAGCGCCTGCCCAAGTGAGTGACCTTTCTGATCCCCCCAGATACATAGTATAAGCTTCTTTCCATGAATATCTCGTTTCGGCGTTGATGTCGATGGTTGACCTGGCTTAACTATTACTTTTCTTCGCCTAGGATTGTCATAATGAATCCATTTTTCATCACCAGTAATAATTCGATACAAAATTGACTTCTTTTTA